ATAAGGGTGTCGTTTTTGAGACGCACTGTATCGTGGTTAATCTTTGCCGCTTTCAGATGTTTCGAGAGAAATTTCTTTTTTTCGTAGTCTTGTTTCGGAAGGTCGTGGGTGATGTATATTTTGTTTTTTCGGAGCTCGTCGCTGTTTTTTTTTGCGCTAGATATAATTTCAGCTTTGAGTTGATAATTCACAACTTCAGCAACAACTGGTCTCAGCTTCCCTTCGCTAAACTGTCCAATTCTATGGGTATCTCGAAAATCAGTTGATGAGCATTCAATTTTAAGTGTATTGTTTATCAAATGGAGTATTTCATCCAGCGCATTTGACTCCCTATTTTCATCGAGCCCATAAACAATGAAATTATACTTTTTTGTATTTCTTTCCAATAGAAGTACTCTTTATTGAGTTTTTTATTTTCTTCTGTCAATTCATCGTTTTTTGTTTTGAGTTCTTCAAGTTCTGCTAGCAGATCATTTCTCAATCCGGTAATCTCCCTTTTCAATTCTGAATTTCCATCTTGTATTATTTTACATAAATCATCAATGGTCATGCTCATTTCTCTGAAGATTTACGGTAAATAACTTTTATTCGAGAAACAACACCAAAATGGTACTGATTATTGACACACAGCCAATCGTTCTCTCGTAGATAAGAAGTATAGTTCTTTTATCTTCACAAAAAGTATATTGATATTCGAACATTCGGCAGGATTGATTGATATATAGATGAATAACAAGCAATAACTTACAGCAGTGCAGTGGAAATCGTGAACTTCCTTCCTCACATTTAGATGTATCACTGGGGTGAATTTCACAATTTCATTTCATCAAACACAGGGTCTTTCGCACATTTGTGTAAGGAGCACATTAACTTAACGTCTGTATTGGGCTGTGTCCAAACAACCTCTCTTACTGAAGTACTATATATAAAGAAGAATTATTGAGAAGAATAATTATTAAGAAGAATAATAAGGAAGAATAGGAAGAATTAATATTGAAGAAAGCCTTATTGGTATTTAATAAGATTATTCCAAGTGGAATAATCACATTTGGATTGAAACTCAAGATATCCATAATAGAAGTCTACAGCCAGCTCTATTATACAAACCCAAGTGAGTGACCAACCAAATTGGTCACAATTTAAATCGTACTTGCCGATGATAACTGTCCTAACGGAACAACAACAACAATTCTCCCTTACCATAATAAGAATATCCTTATTCCTTCCTTGTTTGCAAGAAAGAAGAGCTCCTGTATGGTACTGAGGCTTCCAAGGATAAAGACCTTTGTGGCTGAGTTTTGCTACATCCCTCAGTACTGCATCGTAGCTACCACTGACATCCCGGGATGTCTTCTGGTGCCGTCCAACCTGAGGAATGAGCAAGTAGCCAGGTGGTGAAAGCATTGCACTTTCCGAGGGAGACGATAAACGCCTTTCGTGGACCTGCGTGCCACACGGTTTCGCGTCGGGAGTTAAGTCAGGATAGTGCGTAGGGACTTAAAGGCCTTCAGCCTTGGTAGGTCTAGGCGATAGTGAACCCCTTGTGATCGGTGCAACGCCAACGTGGTATCCAAGGGGGGTTTGACGGGAACTTAGCAGCTCTAGTTTTAAGTTTAGCTATCTCTTAGGAAGATAGGACACTGGACAGGGGTTAAGTTTTGTAAGATTGTCCTGCAGAGGGTTAGGATTACTCTGCAGTCACCTGTGATTGGGCTACGGTCTCTACCTTCCTTTTGGGTTATTTCCGCACTTCTGTGGAAATAGGTAGGTCTATTCTAAAACTCATTGGCCAGGGAGGATCGGACGGTTGTCGCAAATTTCCCTAAGTTCTTTAACTTTGTAGTCGCGGCAAGTTATTTTCATTCATTTTCTATGGAAAATAATGAACCCAGACAGCCTCCAAAGTCCGATTTTATCTCAGCGCCTGTCCACGTAGAAAATCAATACTTTCGTAACGGACCCTTGGATCCTAAGCCAATGGCTGTCCGAGTTTCGTGTTTTTTCTCTAAGAGAATTGCACGGTTTTCTATAAAAAACGGCATTTTTCAGATTCAGAGATCATTTGAATATCGGGAATTCGAGATTCTGAATCACTCGCGATTAAGCAGAACCGCTACCAGTTCGTTTTTACGTGTTTGCAGATGTGTTGTCGGTCCGCGTGTACTACTGCCCAGTCAACATTTCGTAGCCAAATTCTCCTAGCTAAAGCTGACTGTCCGGATTGAGGAGTCGCTAGTAAGGTCGCCTACTTGGGAAACTTTGGGATCTCGACCAAATATCTGGACATAGAATTCGTGCACTTTGGACTCTCAGTGCTGTGTCACGCACTTTGAACTTGAAACTCCATTGATCGAGAAGAGCTGCAGAAAATAAAGAACCTTATTTTCTTCCTCTCCGTCCTTTTATTTATTTCAGGGAACGAGGAAAGCACCAGGTTGGAAAGACAATCATCCCAGTAAAGTTGATTCTGGCTTTACCCCTGGTGTACTTCGTTGTTTTCCTTTGAGAGTGTGGCAGAATAACCCACTCAGAATAGTGGGCGAATCCACTTGGATAGGATGATTTTTGAATGTACCCCGTATAGCGAAGGTCCTCTGTCAGAAGTATCTGTTGGGAATCCGTTTTTGAGATTGTTGCCAGAGAAGGAGACATTCGAGAGATTCGGTATGTCTCAGGTTGCAAATTCGAATCCGTTTTTGACTTCCAGAAATCAAAGTCAATGGCGCCCTAGTAGCATTAGAAATCCGATTAGTGTGAAAAATCGGTTTTGTTGAACCTATTTTGCAATTAACCAGAGCAATTCGTGGCTTGAACACGGATGCTCAGAAGTTGTGTTTACCTGAGTTTGGAGGAATGGAGTCGGAGGTTCCGGAGAAATTTATTGCAGATTGTCAATTGGAATTTAGAAAATTCTCGAATATTGGAGTTGATGAGTATTTTTCGTTGGTAACGAAACAACTAAAGGGGGAGGCCTTTAGTTGGTTGAATTCTTTGTTTGGAAGTAATTTGCTGCCGTGGGGAAATTTCTGTACCGCTCGTTACAGAGATTTAATAGTGGAAGTTTGGTTTCGAGGTTGACGGCGAAGTTGTATGGGCAAATGCACGAAGCTAACATTTCACCTGAGTTTTTTATAGTCAAAAAGTCGGCACTCGCTCGACGAATTGTTCCGGTAAACTCGGAGAATGAATTAATTCAGATGGTAATACCACAATTGAAACCTGAAATCCGGTGTTTCTTGCGTGGAAGTTTTGCAGATTTAGAGGAACTTATTCAGCAAGTAAATCTCTTAGCAGACGATCAGTCTAAGTTCCCTAAATTCCGTTATTCCGCGCCGTCTGTGCAGGTCAAGTACCCCAGTCGCGGGTATAATAGAGATAATTGAAGCTATGCCCGACCGTACTCTGGAGGCGATCAAGGGACAACGTCGCAAGGCGGAGTACCAGGGTCTCGTCCAGCAGTACGATGCGGACTTGACGACGCGGGCTGCCACTCCCGACTCAGAATCGTCCAGCGATCCGGAGCCGCTGTCCCCTGAGGCTGAGGTGCCAGTTGGCAAGAAGTTCTTTCGGGCGATTGACCAGCTTGCTGAATCAATCGACTGGGAGGCTCTGGGTGACCGGCACGGCGGTCTGCGGGAGCATATTGGCGAATGTCGCTGTCGGGACATCAGTGATCCGCTCCTGCAGTGGATCAAGGGTACTCTGCCGGCGGCAGTTGCCAGAACAGACAACAATCGCGCTTGAACCGATGACGAGCCCAATATTAGTAGGAGAGACAGGATACGGCGGGATTATCGTAGGGCACAGGAGCTTTATCTTAAGAACGAACGTAAATGTGCCCAACAAATTCTGGACGGGGAGCAAGGCGACCGGGCAATGGATGTAGCACCCGGCGACTTCCACCAGTACTGGCGTGGTCTCCTTGAGACACCTAGCCAAGAATACGTGGCTCCGGATGGTGAGGCTTTCCCCAGAAACATAGGCGAGCTCTGGTCACCAGTGACTTCCGACGAAGTCACTAGGGGATTTGTTGGACGTAGCAAAGCGCCTGGACCCGACGGAATTCAGCCTAGGGACTGGAACAAAGTTCCAGCACCTATAATTGCCATCCTGTTTAACTCTATTATGGCGAGAGGGGGGCTCCATGACGAGCACCATTGGTCGAGAACGATCTTCCTTCCTAAGGACATTGGGAAGGGAGAGCGTGCACAGCCATCTGAATACAGACCCCTTTCTATCTCATCTGTAGTGGTTAGACACTTTCATAGAATTTTCGAACATCGTCTTGAACAGGCTGAGAACCTTCTCTCTGACGAGCAGAGGGCTTTCCGCACGAAGATTGATGGTATCGCAGAGAACCTGTGTGTACTCGAGATCGTCATGCGGGAATCCCAAAGTTCGTTGAACACGGTTCATCTTGCGTCTCTAGACCTGTCTAAGGCGTTTGATACTATCTCGCATGAGGAACTTTCGATGCTTGTCGCCACGCCGGGTTCCCGGAGGATATGATGGTGTACATACGATATGTATGCCGCAACGGGTATACATCTCTCACTTTACCCCATGGAGGGTCTGTTGAAAAGGCTATGCGACCGGCCCGTGGAGTTCGGCAGGGCGACCCGCTCTCACCCGTTCTGTTTAGTCTCGTTATGGACCAGGCCCTTAAGGCATTAAATCGAGACGTTGGGTTCGCCATAGGTGAGGAGCGCATCTCCTGGTTGGCCTTTGCGGATGATGTCGTGCTTTGTTCGACGTCCCGTGTTGGCATGCAGAGCAATCTGCGGTGTATTGGCAGAGGGTTGGGGCGTTTCGGTCTCAGGCTTAATCCGATCAAATGTAAAGTCCTTTCCCAGGTGGCTTCAGGTAGGGACAAGGAGTTCAAGATTGTGGAGGCACCGCTCTTCCGCTTAGGAGGGATGGAGGCACCGCTCTTCCGCTTAGGAGGGGTGGCGGTTCCTCAGGTTGGCGTTCTGGACCTATGGCACATGCATACATGGGTCATGGGAAAAGTTACGGCATATTATATGAAGCGACTGGACGTGACAATTCGGGCCGCCATCAGGAAGTCGCTCTACTTGCCTGAAGACGTGGCGATCGGGTTCTTCCATGCAGCGGTGAGGGACGGTGGACTGGGTGTTCCAAGACAGGCGGGGTTCATCCCACATCTCAGACTACGGAGGTTACTGCGTTCACGTGCGTCCTCTGTGGCCCTCGTAGTCGCTTGTGCGACCAGGGCAATGGTTGATTGTCAAATCAACTGGTGTCGCGCTCGCCTGGCGGACGTGCCAAGACCAGAGAGTGCGGACGGCCTCAAGTCGTACTGGGCACGGCTATGGCACGATGCGGTGGACGGAGCTGACCTGTCTCACATTGCCGAAAGCGGTGTGAGTACGGATTGGGTCCGCCGACCGAGTCCTTTCATGCGAGGGGGCAACTTCGTGAACTATAGCTGGGTCCGTGCGATCGCACTGTGCAGTCGTATGAGGATCGATCGAGGGCGACGAGGGGGCCGCGATATCATGTTTCGTGCGGTTTGTCAGATGGCTGAGACCGCGGTACACATGATACAGCGGTGCTTTCGTACACATGGCGATAGGATCCTCAGACATGACTGCATAGTAAAGGCTGTCGGTAATTCTCTAACAGAGATGGGATGGACGGTGCACTACGAGAGAGTGTACCACACGCCAGCAGGGCCCAGGAAACCAGACATCACTGCTGTGCGGGGAACAAGGTAGCCATCGTCGATGCGCAGGTAGTCTCTGGCGATTCGCTTAATAGGGCGCATTTGAATAAGGTGGCCAAATACCGAGATGAAGCCCGACTCACTGACACTATCATCGCTGAGCGCCGAGCTGGCCGGGACGGGTCGGCGGCCAGAGTTGCGGCAGACGGCGTTGTGTATGTGACGGTCACCGTCTCGTGGCGTGGGGTCTTGGGCAGTGATAGCATGCGTAGTCTGGAGGACCTTGGTGTGGACCGGCGAACTCTTCGTCGGATTCCCATCATGGCCCTGAAAGGCTCCTACCTCAACTGAGTTCGATGGAATGGTATGACCTAGCCCTTGTTTTAGGGGCTCCGCGAACTGGGACAGACCATACATCGGACTTGGAGGCATAAGCGCTTACGATGCAGCTTCTTTTATTTTCTGTAACAACGAGGCGAGCCACTCTGGCGGACCTCGCGCCATACTCGCCGTCGCAAAAATCATAAAAATTTGCGAGTAATGAGGTCATGTCAGACGAAACTTGCTTGTTGCCATCCTACTGCGGTGCGGGCGGGGTGGTTGCCGCTGGACACTGGGTGTGGCCAGGGGGAATCTCGTCGTCCATACTTGATGATGACAAGCACTGATTAACATCGCCTGCTGGGCCCATTGATTTGGAATCTTGAGTTGAGTCTGAATGTGCACCGTTCTGATTGCCAAACAAGCTGCTGAGGAAGGATCATCTTCCATGCAGCCACAGGAAAACTGAAGCGGGTGTACCTCAAGGGGGCAGCTTCGACCCGTCATCCTCAAGACCTCCTCATCCCCGTCGTATCCCTACCGCGTGATAATAGCAGCGTCTACGTAGATGGACAGATTGCATCGAAGACGATCCTGTGATGTGGACTTCTGACGTCTCCAATAAAACAACTTTATAGGAGAATCGATGTGGATATATCGATCGGGAACGTCAAATTTCCACATTGAGCTATCATGGCAGATATTGCAGAGAATGTTATTCTGGAATGGATATTATGAGTGCGCAAGGGATTCAACTGGACTTACCGAAACCGGTATGAGGGTTCATTAGAGCAACGTGAATAACTACCCAGTGACGATTGGCAGAAGAAACGACGATCAGAATCTGTGTCCTGGCAGTCTCAATAATCCACCTCTGAAGAGGCCGGCAAGTATTAAGAACTTGTCTCTGCTACATGCGACGCATTCAACAACCGACAGAAGAAGAAGTTAACCGAGTAACTGCAGAGGTATAGAACCATTTTCATATCCACCAACCGAACAACAGGTAGAAACATCGTGAGTCACAAAATAGATACAGGAAACACCAGACTGATTCGTCAACCAGCCCGGAGAGAGAAATTGAAGACAAGATCATCCAGGTAATGGAACAAGGCGGGGTAATCAAGCCATCTAATAGCCCTTGGGCTCCGCCAGAGGCCCTAGTTGAGAAGGAAGATGGAAACACCCGATTTTGTGTTGACTATTGCCGATTGAACGTGACGAAGAAAGAGAGCTATCCTTTGCCTCGTATTGACGACACACTCGACATGTTGGCAGAATCAAATCGTTTCTCCACTTTGGACCTGTGAAGTGCATATTGGAAAGTGGAAATGGACCCGGCAGATAAGGAAAATTCAGCAGGGTTATGGCAATTTAAGGTTATGCCTTTCGGATTCTGCAATGCTCCGGCCACCTTTGCACGAATTATAGAGAATGTATTGAAAGGACTCTCCTGGAAGAAATGCCTGGTTTCTTTGGATGACATCATCGTGATCGGTGAAACTCTTTAAGAACATCTGGACTACCTAGAGGAAGTTTTCAAGAGAGCTGCAAACGTCACGCTCAATCTTCGTAAGAAACCAGGGTGAGGAAGTGGACCCTGAGGAGGTACGAGCAGTCAAGCAGTGGCCAGTACCGGAAGATAAACACCAACTCAGGAGCATTCTTGGACTCCCTTTTTGGGTATCGCAAGCCCTCTTACTTGTCTCTCCGAGAAAGCGCGCCCCTTCTACTGGGATCATGCCTGGTTTATTTGATGACATTATCATGATCATTGATGATATTGACGAATCCAATCTATTGTATAATAGCATATGGAGTAATAAAATGATCATGAATGTACAGGGTATCCCAATTTGGGCACTTTTGTAGGGTATCTCCCTTATCAGTGAAGAGCATTGCGGTTTTCGCGACAGTGTGCAACTTTTTTCATGAAATTAATAATGGCGCAAGCAGAATTGTGATAGCTCTTCCGTTAGTCGAGATACAGGGTGGAATTGAAAAATACCCCCCTGTCTCATTTATCTTTGAACTTATTGAAGAAGTTAAAACTTGTTCTTATAGTTTCTCTCGTAGAATCCAGTGGCGTAGTTTTTTTTTTCCTCGCTGTACAATCCACGTAGGAAACGAGATATTCGTTCAAAACTACAGATTTTGGGAAGAACCTTACACCGTCAAGAAGAGAATCAATGTCATCTACTGCATCAATGAAGTACCCAGTAGTCAACCAAGAGTCGTTCGTTTCAACAGACTAGCACCATTCGAGGGGACCCAAGATCAACGAGTATGACAGGAAGAGGAGCTTCTATTCAAAGAATTCATTGGCACATACAGTGTTCTATCAAAAGCAAGGTTTGGCGTCGATAAGAAAGATCACCGCGACTTTTTCGCCATTTCTGTAAACTACGCATTAAAGGAAACTTCCGTTAAAATTACGACTCGTGCGCGATTCGCCTAGTTCGGATATTTCCGCAAGTACGATCTATGCCTGATTCTCAGTAGCTGCGTCTTTTATCATAAGACAGTTGCACCCGTGAGTCATTCGCAGTGTTCGTCGTCAAATTTTACGAATGTTTATTATTTACGTTACTTTCAACCTCGTTCATATTACGAAAGTTTAGTATTCATGCCAGTTTTTAAATTTTATGATGAGTGGTAACAACGTTCGATTCATAACGCCATGTCTAGGAACGTGTTGAGTCAAGCCTTAGAATATGAGGCAAACAAAATCATGGAAGGAACAGTTAGTGATGAGGAACAGATACAAACTTCAGTTAGCGAAAGGGAAGATGTTGTAGAAACCCAAGAGGTCGATTCTGACGAGAAGAATTCAGAAGACGAGAATATTGGAGCTTCACAATGTTCACTGAATCAAGAAGCAAATCATCAAACATGTTCTGTTACGTCTATGTTGGATAGTGATGACGATTCGGATGAAAATGTACCATTATCTGAAATTGTTGATACCCTGAAGCATGGATTTCTCCCAAAAATTCTTCACTGAAGGGCAAAAATCATCACAGATGGTCCACAATTGAACCACGTCGGCAAAAAGGAGTTCTAGCTCACAACATCATTCATTTTGTTACCTGGAAGCAGAGGTCCTGCTTCACAGTTGTCGACACCGGTGAGTTGCTCCAGGAATTTTTCACGGACAATATATTAGATGCAATCGTCTTTCATAGAAACGAGCAAATCACACTGAAAGCTTCAAAAACTTCGACAATCTCGAAAACGTGCAAGGAAGAAGTATTAGCACACATTGGACTTCTCATTTTCACGGGAGTGATGAAAAACAATCACCTGAATTCGAAGATGTTTGATCCTTTCATATCAGGAAATTTATATAGGGCCACAATGAGTTGTGATCGCTTCTGATTTTCATTAGATCGTTTTCGTTTCGATGATAAACAAACAAGAATTGACAGGAGGAACATCGACACATTCGCACCCATTCGTGATATCTGAGAAGAGTTCATTGCTATTTGTAGAACTTCATACACTCCATCTAGTTATACAACTTTGGATGCTGAACCATATCTTGGGAAAGGAACGAAAACAAATGGTTCGCCGTTGAGTACATATTATATAAAAAAATTGCCAAAGATTTTCTGTATCGACAAACAAAAAACTATGGTATCTAATTTATTGAAGACAAAAAATAAAAAACTAGCAGTTTTACTGTCGACCATGCATACGAACAAGAGTTTGAACAATGTCACTAAGAAACCAGAAATAATACACTTTTACAACCAGACTAAATTTGGCGTAGATATATTTGATCAGATGTGCTCCAACATGAATTGTGGTCGTAAAACTAGGAGATGGCCAATGTGTATATTATACGGTATGATACATATGGCAGCAATCAATTCTTATATCATTTATAATTCAAATAACTGAAAATGGAGGAAAATCTATATCAAGAATAAAATTTATGCTCGACTTGAAGGACGAGTTGGTGAAGTCATGATTACAGCTACGAATGAACACCCCCTACTTTGCATCGTCCAATTCGCCAAGATATATGCAATATTCTAAATATTGATATGTTGCCTGAAAGGCACATGCAAGTGGAAAAGTAGCGTACACTTTGTGCCTTTTGTCCGTCGCGTCTTCCTAGGATGACTACAAACTTTTGCAGCCGCTACAACCAAGCAATTTTTGGAGAACATCGGGCTCCTTGTTGCCTCAATTGTCCAGAAAAACTATGAGTTTTATGATTTAATATGGATTTCCTGTTCGATAAAGAGTTGATTTTGTTTTTAATGATTTGATAATGAAAAAAATCTATTTTTGTTTTTGTTTATTTTCTGTGGCTATTGAAAATTTCGTAAAATTTACGAGTGTGTAGTATTCATGTGAGTTATATATATGTTTAGTGTTCTAGGGTTGAGGATGGCAGTGTAATGATATTCCCCTTAGTGTTATGGATTTATTTTTTCATCGTTATTTTCAAGTATGTTTTGGAATACTTCATCTTATTTAATATGCTTAAAACAGGTTAAGTGCCGCAATGTTAAAAAATTCAACGTCCCCATTGGCCAGAATCTTTTTTCATCAAATTGCCTTTCTATATTTTCCTTTAACTCTGCATCATCAATGTTTTTCATCTCCATGTACGATTTTTAGTACCAAAAATGTGTTTTTTTAACGTGAGTCCAGCTTGGAGTTTCACGTCCACCAGCAAAACTTTTATCACGGGATGCCATTGTGAGTCCAATGTGGCGTATCGAGTAACGGCACACGCCGCTGGTTCATTAGTATGCATACCAGCGCGGTATGATGCAGTCGTACGAGAAAGAACAAGGAAAACTTCAAAAATATTGGTAAGAAATTTTGTCGGGGGAAGAATCATCGGAAAATGAGTCTTTATTCGACGATGTTTATCTTTCGGATGAGTATAAACCGTCATCGTTATCAGACGACAGTGATAGGGCTAGTGAATACGAATCGCGTGCTCAAGAACGGAGTCGAAAAAGGAAACGTGCAACCGTAAATACCTTGAACGTGAGTACTAAGTCGGTGGA